ATAAGCGCAAAAATTTTTTTTTGCGGATTTTGAAAGCGCTTAAATAGCGCATTATTATATAATTTATTCATTAAGATATGGTTAAGTGGGAGGTGGGGGGAGGGAGGGGCACCTAGGCAGACATCTTGTACCTATATGTATCACCAAGTAACCATTAAGCCTTTTGTATTTCTTACAGCAGTAATCATTTTATGTAAATTATGATTGCTCTTTACTACTTTGACATTGATTCAAATGACAGTGGTTTTATTAACATTAGTAATAAAAAAACTGATATAACACAAAGGCATATAATAGAGTGAAAATTATGCGTGTAAATTATTCTTATTCTTTCTGCTTTTTTCTGATTTTTACGATTTAAATCGCCACATAGTGTAAATACTGAAGTTATTCTAATTGTTAATACAATATCTAATGGTAAAAAGAATTGTCATTATCGATTAGTAAATATAAAACGTATAATGGAATAATGTATATATTGGCTATGTTTAGAAAACAAACTCGTTGCTATTGATATGTGTTTCTAAATTTATTGTGAATCTAAAGGTCTGTTTCAATCACAGGGGTAATAATTATTAAGCGCTTACTCGACCATTTTATCTTCTGAGTGTAGTCATTATAATTATATACATAAATTTGGTTTATTTTTTGTGATTTTGGAAATAATACTTCGTCAAGATATTTATTCGTGAAAGATAAATTATGAAACGAATCTGATTAAAACGCGAAGAGGTATCTTTTACAAATTTTATTTTGCACTATTCTATATTACGAAAGAGCTAATAAATTATGGAATTATTATGCAGCAATTATACTGACAGTTCCTTTATTTTTTTATTATATTTATATTATATTTGAATAATATTTCATTACACACTCTATTTTTGTCGATAAATAAATCTTTTGTCTTTATCGACAAGTTAAAATTACATTAAACCAGAGGAAGTTGCGAACCAAATATTATATTTTTGCCAACACGAATTTTGTGTAAAGCACGTATCGTTTGAAATTTGTTCAACAGTTTCACTGTTGTGGTAAACTTGTTAGCCATTGGCTTGAAGCAAGCGAACGAAGCTGTACCGAAAGTTGCGGGAATAAATGTTCCGCGTCAATTGATATCCGAGTATTTCGCGCATCTCCGCCGTGGTCGTTGCACGCTGCCAGAATATTAAGTAGTTCGTTTGGATGTCGATTCCCGGGACGAATAGAAGCATAGCTAACGAGGATGACTCGGGAGACTGCTCGATGAGAGAGCGAAGCTTTAAAAATTCAATTTGCTAGTTCCATTGTGAGATTTGCCTAATTTAGGAATATTTTAGTAATCGAATGTAAATTAAACTTGAGAAAGTGTAAATAGTTATAGATAAGTAAAAATAAATTTATTTATTAAAAGCGCTTTTTATATTCCGTTAATATTTAGATAAATATGGCATAACAGGCGTCGTTACATTAAATATCAACCTAAAATAATAATTCTTTGCAATTTCAGTTTCCTTTGTATTTGTAATAAATCCCAGTCTTTTGTTTCGATTAAATTCTTGTAAGTACAATATTCATAAACAATGTTTCTTTTAAAAATAATTAGTAGTACAATGGAGTGTAATAATTGTATAGATTAAGAGATATAAGTAATGCAAATGAAGTGAGAGAAAATCTCTTTTAGTTTCTATATTATTTTATATAAATATCTTTCTTATTTTTATTTATATTTTAAATCTCGCCGATTTATAAAGTCTTGTACGAAGTATAAAAGTCTCTCACGGTTTGAAAAGGAAGCATGAAGTTAACGGGAAAATATCTTCATGGCAACGCAATCATCGTGCTTTTCGCTAATACATGAATACGTCGAAGTCTTGAGAAGAATAATGCTCTCGAATATCTGACACCAATATCCGCAAAGTCGAGAGAGGAAATACCACCGACGCGATTTCGATTATTTCGTGCTACGAGCGTCATTCGTCAAATAATTTTGTTAAATTGGAGCGGTTAACTCGCCAATTGCGAAACGAGAGCAGAGAGATATTCTCGTATTTTCTTTGACATGTCACACAAAATATCTTGTTAGGAAAAAGTCTCGGAGTTAATTTTTGTCGATGATTGTATACAATTATGTGCTTGTTTGACAAATTTCCATCTATGATAAAATTTTCATTTGAGCGAAATAATAAATCGAGAATATAAGAATAAGAATTTTAAGATAAATAGATAATAAATAAAAAAAATTATATATATATAACATTTAGGATTGTGAATAATTAACTTGTTTGCGTTTTGAGTTAAAATAATTTTCTTTATGAAATTATAGTCGTAACAGTTGAGTAATAAATTTTAATTGCACTTAATTTACTTTGTATTATAATATTACTACATTAATGCGACGGTATGTAAAAATTATACGTTAATATTCGAATAATTATATATTTAGATAATAATATTCTATAATTGTTTTAAAAAGCTTTGAAAAACGTTACCAACACAGTTAGTGTGTTACATCTTGTGTTAAATGGACAGAAAGATGTCACGAAATTAAAAGATGATGAAAGTGTTCAACAGAGAAATAAAACGGATAAATGAAGAAAGAAATTGTCGAAATTTTTCCCAGTAATAATCGCCAGTGGCGTACGTTAAAAGAATGGACTGAGGAGATATATATTCGTGGACGGTTTATGTCGTACGAGGGTTGGTATAGCTCGTTCTGCTTTCCACTCTGTTAAATTTTCGCTCGGTACCGCGTCAGAAAAGCCGCATTCGCCTCTTTTGCACGCGTAGATTGGGGCTGGAAAAAAGTTTCAATCTCCCACGAAACAAGCTTTCACCAACGTCATAAAAGTGCGCCCGGCAGTATATTGACGCGCTCTCGTCGCAACTTGTAATCCGGCGATGATGCATCGATAATGCGTAATGAATAATAACATTCGATCTACAATATAGGTATTCCATGCAATAAATAACAAAGAAAGAGTAAAGGAAGGCAGAAAATTGTAGAAAAGTATATTTAATGAAATATATTACCTATACCTAAATTTTTTTAAACTGGATAAATCAAAACTTATGAATTTCTTCTAGTTAATAATAAAATTTATACGCATAATTATAATTCGCGTAAATTTACCGAGTGTATATATATATATAGAAATTAATTTGTGTATTTGATTCAAGTGCATAGTTTATTTAAAAAATTGTTTATTTCTCTTGCTTTTAGGACTGCGAAAATTTATATACTAAAAGGAAATGGATTACTGGTAAAATAGTGGCTTTATACTCCCAATATTTCGCAAGTTACCCGAAGTAGCAGCTGTGTCTGACCGTGCACGGTGCGCATTCACTTGCCCGCCGTTAGTAGTGCAGGCATGATAAGGTCGGCCATTTGGCTGACCACTTTCAGATATTACCACTTACAGCTTCCGCCGTGTTTCCAACTTAATACGAACGATCATATTCCTGGCTTATGTTGTTCCATAGCCGCGTTCACGTACACTGTAAATCATTGTTTACGATCTATTCGAGATTGGATGTACTTTAGTAATAATTCCGTATCTTAGACGCCTCAAATTACTACGGAATGTGCGCGCGGAACGTGACACCACTGAAATATTATCAAGATACGATTTACACATTGTTTTATCATGCGACAAAGCTTCTAGTTTTGTATAAAGCGACAAAGATATAGTTTCTGTTTTATAGAAGATTAATAGGTTTTTTAATGAGAAAATATCAGTGTTATTGTATAATTTATTATTGTGTCGCCGAAGGAGAATCGTTAACACGATACAGTTGGTGGTGATTTACCATTTCATCGATATAATCAGTCATAGCATCACGCAATGGTAACGTTATACATTATGCATTCATTACATCAAATAAGAAGATAGAATTTCTTTCTATAGATACATATGATAGACATTATATCTATCTACATACGACGCACATGAAATTATATATTTTGATATAATAACAATATATTTTATCACTTTGAATTCAATTTCAAGTCACGGAACGACACAAATGATTCTCGTTTAATACGTTGGTACTAATTACTGCTTCGTCGTTATTATTAATAGCAGTACCACATGCAAAATTAATGCCATTAATATTTTCTAGAATATATCTCGAATGTTGAACAAATTTTTCCGCTTCGCTAATTACACAGTTGTTTATCGTAAATGAAGCAATGTTTCATCATCCCGCGAGCGCAGTCATTACTTCGCTTTGCGTCGTCTACCATGTTGCTGTGCACATTATGTCGACATATATTATAGTAACTCTACACGCACGCCAAAGTATCGCAAAGTAAAGTTTGTAGCCGCATCACCGAGTTGTTTGCGCCATTTATTAGTCTCAGCGGTGCTTTGCCTCTTCTTTTTATTGATTCTCTTGTCGTCGCGCATCAGTTATTTTCCATCTATCTTGTATCTACTTTGCAGTAAATATTCTAAACACTGATTTCGATCTTCTCTCACTTTTCTTGTAAATCTTTTATTTATTACCAAAACTTTCTGATTTCTGACGACAATTTTCGTATACATAAGTACAAAACATATATAAGATTTAAATCAGGAATAATAATAGGAGAAGTATGTCATGACTAAGTAAGAGTAGATTAACAGGTTATTAAGGGAACAAACGCTGAATTAAAGGAAGCAGTGATATGTAACGTAGTATAAGGAATTTAAGAAAATATATTGGTTCTACTTAGTCTTGTGATAAAAGTAGTTTACTACTTTAAAAGTAGTTTAATAGTAGGATACGATAATAGTTATTGCAAGAATGCGTTTGCAAGAATTCGACTTAAAGATATGGATGGATATGTGTCAAGTTTCTTTTTGTAAATCAAGTCACTTCCTGACAATGCAAGCTGACATAAATTCTAATCCTATAAGATTTAAATTCAAATGATACTTCTTACTTATCGCTTTAACCAATAAGCTGGATTTTGTGATTTCCTTTCTTTCCACTATCAACGAAATACAGTCTCAAGTTTTGTTTTTTTCCGACAATAGTCGGAGGTATTCCAGGCTGCAGTAGTAGCAGCGGCAGCTGCAGCCGCGAGTGGCGGTGGCCAGCAACCAGCACCAACACCAGGCGGTGGCAGTGAGACCAACCCCGAAGGCGGAGTGGAGACTACTGCGTTGGTACCTGTCACGTCAGGCGCGACGACACCCGCGACAGCGACACAAGGCACTGACCTCAAAGGTCAACCGAAACGCTTGCACGTCAGCAACATACCTTTTCGTTTCCGAGACCCTGACCTCAGGGCAATGTTCGGGGTAAGTACTACAATTTTTTCCCCCACTCTACGTGTTCATGTTTTTATTATTCGATGTCTTTTTATATTTGCTTTTGTTGGTGGGAGATTGCTCGCCTCTCACCCTTTCGATTGCGATGTAGATAAAAGGAATAATATGTATACACGTTGTTCCGTTGTTTTCTTGCCTCTCCCAATAAAAAATAAAAATATTTTTAACCAACTGTAAAAAAATAATAGAAAATGATAGAAAGCTTCTAGAAACAAATATGTTTTTGTTTTATATATACCGATAATAATCTGCACGATTTAATTCTATTAATGTGGAAAAGTTTATATCAAATTTCCTTTTTTTTTTATACAAAATTTAT